TCCCATCGCAACGAATACGCCAGCTCGTAGAGGTCGAAAACGAGATTCACTGAACTTATCCCAAAGCGAAACGATTATAGCTGCTGAAACCATAGCGTTTTACAATAATACTACGACAAAGAAAATTTAGAGGAGATATAAAAGACACCCACCAACGCCTAAGACGGACACCATCCCAATATAGGTAATCTTCGGCTCCATCCGGCAATAGAATCCATAATAAATCCAAGGAATAAATGATCCAACTATCAGAAGGGATATGCCCATATAATCAAGTCTTAAGTAAAACACGTTATTTAACCACACGTAAAGAGAGGGCCAGTAAAGGTAGCGTAAAGATCTTAAACCTATATACTTACTTGCAGAAAATACGGCCGACATTAATTGAGTGACAGCACAAAGTGTGAAAAGCGAAGGAAAGACCTAAGCAGAGAACGGCACCACCGAAGAAGAAGGAAAACACGATCTTCTCCTGCCACTGGATATGGTTATCAGGACGAGTGAGAAACCACACTCCGAGACAGAAGAATGCCAAACAACCTAAATGTAAATTTGCTTAAGATATCAACAATGCAAAACAACCTAAATATCAATGTGACTGAGATTGGGGCTCAATTTAGAAAAAAGGTTTTTAGCAAAAAACGACACACTTCAACAATTCAAGTAAAAAATACCAATGAGGTGGGTCCATATGTTCCCTGTTTCAGTATGGAGCGACCAAATACTTTTGAAGCACTCAGCAAAAGAAGGGAGTGGAGGGCGATGACCATGACTAAATAAAGAAAATAAACATACACTTCGAACAACGTGAATTTTTTATGGGCAGAGAAGAACATACCGTAAAAACTCGTTATCCTGCAACCATTCTGGTAGATGTTCATATTTCAAAACTTTCCAGCGAGCCTCGTAAGTCTAAAGAACAGCATCGATCAACAATGATCCCTTCGAAATGCTTTTAAAAACATATCGACGACTAGCAGATCGTAATGGATCTTTCGAGCATCCCTTCTGAACGATCATCACAACAATTTACCAGTGTTCCGTATTAAACAGTGCTAACGCGGAACCAGTTTTATTGTAAAAAGATGTACGTGCAGACGCTCTTTAGAATGTAATGCAAGTCATGATCGAAAACTGACCTTAGTAACGATACCTGTCGTTTCTGAGCATTCCTCGGTGACATCAACCTTAAATCAGCAAATTAAGCAATGATCAATTGCCATGTAGCAATTCCTTATATCGAACTATTAATAATGCCTAGCAAGAAAGTTGAGCATTTTTTGCTGATTTCTTCTGCATTTTGCATGAGTGAAAAGCTCAAGAGGAGTGGGAAGATAATGTTGTCATAGGAAAAGCGCAATTATGGCTGCAGGGATCAAGACATCAAGACGCACTGATGGAAAGATGATTTCCTGATAAGCCGGGACACAGTATGTTCTGCGCTACATCGCAGCGATGACGTTGAACCAAGAGCAGCAACGAGAGAGCATAGGGTCAGAAACTGTAAGTTAGTCTAGTTCGAATGCTGTCCTTCCATCAAAATTAGAATCGGAAGGTTTGCAAAAAATTTTGAGTCTAAATGGAAAGGGAGCGACAGGAACACAAACGCAGCTCATGCTTAACCCTGGCGTTGACGTATCCCGATATTCTGACACCACAGAGCTACCAGCATCTTTTCTGTACTTCCTATGCGCTCTTTTATAATTGCGGAACAAAGGTCAGAATAGAGAGGGCTTAGCAAAGACTTTATAAGCTTCAACTTTATAAAATCGAAGGTAGGAAATGGGAAGTTTAAAATGTGCTGACCTCCAGCTCGTCTTCGTCTCCTTTGCGCACAGGACTATCACTCCGTTGTACTTGTCTCCATTGTCCACCTCGTCTTCTCCTGTATTTGAGCACCATATGCTTACGTCCTTCATCATCACTAGCACCAGCTGTACCACGCATGGAGTCGACTCTACAGCGTTCTGTGAGTTCCGAGTCGGATAGGGTTGCTAGAAAATATTGAAGAAAAATGTACTGCGTCCTTGTACCACGAAGCCTTTAGCTACCAAGCTATGATAATAGGACATTTGCCATCGTGTTGTGAACCAGATGCACTAAAGAGTTATTGTTATTCCAAGTTAATAGTTATCAAATTAAAGACATCCATTCCAATTTGTGATTAATATGTGCTCAGTTTCAAACAAGCGAGAAAAACGTCCCATACTTATTTACTCCACACTCGTACTGCAAGTCAATCGCAAGTATGCTCGCGACCAAGCAACCACCTCGGCGAAGTAGAGAATAGAGCAGGAGTTGCTAACAGGAGTTCCCATTACAATAGCTCTTAACGTGATAAGAGCTCTTCTT